GTAAGATTCCTGCTGGAATAGGTCAAGAATTATTTCATGAAGCATGGAAGACAAGGATGTGGAATCTCAGGTTGATTTCTGGAGGAATTCTTCGTCTGTAGGGATGGAAGATGAATCTCTGGCAAGACTATGAAAATCACCAGATGATTGATGTTATGAGGTTTAGGGATATTCAACTGCTGGGATCACAAAAAGAGAACTTTTCTTGATAGGTGAATTTCACCTCAGTATCTGAGGTAACACACCAGGGACTGAAGCTGTCATGAATGATAGGAAGAGTTTAAACTGAAAAAATGAGGAGACAAATTTTAAGGTGGAGATTAGAGATAATCTAACACAAAATCACTGCTCAGAGAGGCCCTCCTTGTCCTGTGGAATCAGTAGACAGTAAAAATAGAGTGTATGTGAAGCAGTAGCACTGGGATATGTTTGGATTCAGTGATGGGCAGCAACATCACAGGAAGAGCTAGGGAAAAAGAAATATTAGAAAGTTTTATCTTCTTTCTGAAAAGACAGAATGACATCAATATTACACCTTCCATTCATACAATCCAACATGAAGGAGTAGAATCATAGAGGATGTGTACAAATAATGTATTAATTCCCTCCCTTCCTGGATTCAGTTGTTAGGTTCATAGCAGGAGGCAAAGGAGGAGGATATTCATGGATGGGTAGCAGAAGTTTAGCTGCACATACGTAGAGGCTTATATCCTCTGTATGCCCATTCTTTTCAACAGGAGGGATGGCAGATATGCTTAACATTGCCAAGTCTGTAGCCTGGTGTGAGAAACCTGGGTTCTGACACTCACAGGGTGAGGAAGGTCTCTAAAACCTAAATCTCCAACTTCCTGGGCAAGTGCCATAACTACAAAAAATATATGAAAAATAATGGTCTCTTCCTCCTTTGTCACCTGGATCTGAAAAAGAACACAGCTTTGATCACATTTTGTGAGGGGACTGATCCTGTCAATCTGGGAGCAGATCTCCCAGATAAGGCCCCTTGTAGTCTACAGGATGCAACCTCCTTCATGTAGGACAGGCCTGGGAATGTTTTGTCCACACCATGCCCACCAGAACCTGATGATGCCATCCAGACCTGGAAGTCTGACAAGAAGGATTCTTCACGCTTGTCCACATCCACTCTCAGGCCCACCTGAAACTGAGGGATAAGAGAAGACTAACACACTTTGAGATTTGCACACACTAATAGGATCTGGGTCTAGAGCATATCTGGAGGTTTGCATGAGTGGGTGTGGTCATCTAGAACAAAGATGCAGTATAGACAAGCCCCTCCCAAAATGTAGGCACTTCTTCTGGTTTCTGGATTCCACCATGGCTTAAGTGGAAGGTAAGTGTCTAGCAACTTGGAACAGAGCAGTTCTGCACGTGCAGAAAAGCTGAATCTTGGGTGCTTAGAAAGTGTTGAGGTTAAAAGTTAGATGTCTAGCCATTTGAGTTGCTTCTGGGCTAAGGCAGCCACCGAGGATTTTTAGATTCCATTTTGGATTTGAGCACTGTGACAGGATGTACCCTAGGGATGCCATCACACCCCCTGATGGCTGCCTTTGACCTGACCAGCCTTTTCTCCCACCTCTCAAGGTCTTCCCCTGAGATCTTCCTGCCGTGCCTTGATGTTGAAAATGAAGAGAGGAGGCTGCCCTTAGAAGATGGTGAGCTCTTGGTGCTCTTTCTAGTCTTCTTTTTCTACTCCAAGCAACTTCATAGTTGGTTTTCAATTCTGGTGTCATGCTGATTTTGGTAGCAGTTAATGATAGTGTATTTAATGAGGTTTCCTTGGCTGCAAATGTAAGATGAGTTTCTTTTTCCCCATGCTGATTAGGGAGGGGGAAAACCTTGTTTTATGTTTGAGTAAATATGGTATTATTGAGGCCCACATTCCTAAATACCAAACTCTCCATGAACTCTACCAGAGATACCAGAAGTTGATTTCAACTTGAGAGGTTAAATCAAGCTACTGATTGACTCTGATATCCACTCAGAAAACTGTCTATAAACATTAATCTCCTATTTGAAAGCATAGATATGCTCCAGAATAGTGGGGATTCAAAAATTTTCCAATTAAAATTCTGATACCTAATTAGTCTATTTGAAATTTGCTTTTATTTGGATAGCAGACACTTAGGAAGCAATTTCCCCAACTTGGAAGGTTGATATGGAGGTGCAATTTTACGTAGAATTCATTTCCAATTTAGAATTAGATCTTGCTGCTAAGCGGGTGCATCTACACGTATGTTTTACTGCGGGGTTGACTAATTGGCTCCTCAGTAAACCATCATCCTCTACATGTGCAACCATATTAGGCCAAAGTGAACTAATTAATTCTGCAGCAGGTTAGTACTGTCCAGGACAAGTACTATCCTATGGTGGTGTCATTTAGTGCACCAAAACACAGATGTAGATGGTGACTGGGGCTGGTTGGGGCATGAGGATGCTACAGTGCAGAGGCTGCATGCTGGCTCACTGTAGTGCCCTCATGACCCAGCTAGCCCCTCCACCTCCTGATACTTAATGCTGCCACCCGGAGCCTGGGGCTGACCCCCCAAATCCCCTGCCAGCCTGGGGCTACTCTGCCTTGACTCAAACAGCTGTAGTCCCAGGTGCGTGTGAAGATGCTGTGCCCAGGAACAGCTGATTCCAGCACAAACTGCACTGGAGTTTACTGCTACATGCTAATTGCACATTTATATGCATTCACTGCTACTGTGTATATGCATTCACTGCTACTGACAATAATATCTTAGGCTCAAAATAAGTAGACTGAATACTTATGATGCAAATTCCAATGAGTTGTAAATATCCCTTTGACTTTACCCATCTGTTTTTACTTGCTGGTAGTTTATTTTCATGGGAATAAAAGGATGATAATTATTCGCACACCTAGGCACGAAAATTTAATTGTTTCCCCAAATGGTTCTGATTTTATAAAGTTTTCTGATAGATATAGCACTCAAAGGCAAATCTCACAGGCTTTAAATTGCCTGAGTACATTGGGCCAGATTCTATTCCACCTAGTAAGACAAGTCCACTGACTTAGGTGCTTAAATGCAGTTTTGTTCCATTTTGCTTCAGTTCCTGAAAAACAGATAATGCAAAAAGCAGGGAGTTCTCCTCCTCTTCCTTCTAGATTATTTTTTGGGATTCAGTCAGATTGTGTGTTAGAAATGGAGCTGCACCAGTGGATTTTCAAGAACTTGAACATGGTGAAATAGAAAAGCATTTGGGTACCTAAATCCAATTAGATGCCCAATAGGTATAATCTGGAATCTGGCTCTTTTGGAGCATGCCCATTAGGAGATAAAATTCTATGAAATTTTCTGTTACTGTTTCTTTCCTCATCAATGTGATGAGAGAAAATTCATGGAATCTGTTCTTTGCTGAAAACTTTTGTTAAATCCCAGAAGAAGCAGGTGCTAAAATGCTGGCTGAGACAGAGTTCTATTTTCTGTATGAATAATGCAGTTACATTCAATCACTCTTT